GGAACACCAAACTCCCTCTATTGCCTCGCCTCCTCGTCAGCCATTGCCTGAGCTTGAAAAAGCTCTATCGAAACTGTCACTAGGCTCCCAGTTAACCCGGGGCGCACGGTCCTCTTCTGGCCCTGTAGGCTCGTCGTCTCTGACCGCACAGCCCCAGCCAACTGTTCCGGCTGCAGAAGGAACGTTGGGAACATCACGTGGCAGAAGGGAAGCGCCCATGCGCTTGGACATGACGGACAATGTCTCATGGTCACCGTGGTCTAGCGCCTGGGTCCCCCGGTCGCCGACCACACCGCTGCTTCCAATTTCAGGTTCAACTTCCACAACGGCAACCCAGGTGACCGGCTCCCTAGAGGGACTGAGTTTATATCAGTCCACTCAAGCTGTGAGTAGGCAACGTCGGAGCTTTATCGCTGCTGGTACTCCTCCACCTTCCTTTCGTTTCTTCACAACTCCGCAGTTAATTGCCGAGGCGGCCAATGAGATGCTAGAGTCCATACGATCAGAAGCGCAACGTACGGACATGCAGGGCATGGCCGTGCCCCATTCATGGTCTAGCGTTGGTGGGGCTTCCCTGTTCACTCCGTCTTCGCTAACGAGAGGGCGGACAAATCAGGCTTCAGGTATTTACAACTGGTCAGGGACGGATGGCAGGCGTGGAGCCGTCAGTTTAGGGGGACAAGGAATTGCGCATCGCGAAGAGATGATGCAGGGCCCGTTGGGACCGCTTTCGGCAGTGCCCAGCCTTCAAGAGTTGCTCGAGCAGGCACAGATCGAAGAAGCGCTTGGAGGGTCACCCTGGTTTGGCATTGACTCTGATAGGGGCTGATTGGGGGCATGCTGCCTGCATCTCTATGTGTTTTACAATGCCTGGAAGCTACTGGAGAAACATTTATCTGGACATTCGCTCGTTTGCTTTGTGCATGCAATTCGCATGGCTCTCATGAGGAATTTGCGCTGCTCAAGTGGCCCTGCGAGGAGCGGGCAGGCTTTGTAACGCCGTCGCTCGGCGCAAAATAGCTTAAAATATTTGGGTGGATGGACACACCCACTCCTCTCTTGACTAGTTCTAGGAATATTAGTTATCACTGGCATTCTTTCCAGATGCAGCTTCAATTATGTTAGCTTGGAGGCAGACAGGACACTGCAGCATATCGAAACAAAGTTTGTGTCACTTTCGAACTACTGCTTGAGCAAGTACTGCCACGTATGTAGTATAGGACTCTTCTAGAAGAGACGGAAGGAGCTTCAGGCCACCGCAAAGGCGCGGTAAAGAGATGTTTGTTATTCTCTGCGTAACTTGTACATCTGATGTCGCAGCAACACACACACCCAGAATACTATTGGTACGTGCGTTGTTGTGACATCAGATGGAAAGATTTATCCCAGTGCCCGTATATGCATGCATTTCGAATAATTTTTAGTGGCGTTACTTCCTCGTCTGCACACACGTGGTTTTCTGTCGTCTACGCAAGTGCGTTTTGATACATAGGGAGACGAATGCGTGCCCAGATGCAGTAGGCACTCTAGACTCCTACCAGCCGACGAATGTACATATCAGTGGGGATATATGAGCTGTTTTTTCCCTTCAAAAAGAACAAGCTCATGCGCTCATCACCTTGCTAGACTTTCTGCTTCTGTGCATTTGGACAAGTATGAACGAAGGCGGCCTGCATTCTGAGGCACCTTCCGACACGTTTCGCCACTTCACCAGGCCTTCGGTGCCCAATTGTCAATATGCCTTTAGCCTCTAGGAAACTGCCGCCAGTGCCTTTTCTAGCAATAGTTTGCTGCTCCACTGCCTCTGAAGAGGTCCATCAAGAAGGCTGACACCCAACGGCCAACTACTCTGTGAGTTCTGCGCCAATACGACTCCTTGCGAACGCAAGAAACGGTTTAGTACAAATAGGCGCATTGAGCAACTCATTCGTAGCTAGAACTACCTGATGTATTCTGTCACCGAACAGGTCGTTGCCTGAGTAACAGAAGCATCAATAAGCCCAGGCATATTTAGGGGAAGGCCCCAGATGATGTAGCATTGCATTGTTTCGATATATGAACCTCGGGGTCATGGCTCCATACTTTGGTAGTCAGCTCCGCTGCTGCAGCAGGCCCCCTGCAGCAGGGGGCCTTCCAACGCATTTCTATTAATATATATGTTTAAAATAGCAGTCGGGTTCAACGAAACCAATAGACCTTTTGTTCTTCATTGCCTTATTTTCATGTTACACTCCGTGCGATACTTGCAAACACTAACGGGAATGCTCCAAGGCTTTTTACGCACAAGCAATTTTATCTGTCAATCTTCATGAGACATGGACCCGTAACCCCCCAAACCTGTCGTTTCAAACCGTTGTAAGAGTGTTTCTCAGGCTGTATTATTTGTGGTGGGCGTCTGCAGGATTGTGTGATGATCGCTGTGGTTCTCTCCTTTGGTGCCCATTTGAAATTCCATATCACAATTATGTGGCACCTGTGGGGCGAACGTATAAATGGAAGGATGCTCTTTTCCCTCCTGCAAGTGTCTAAATGAGGCATATTCTTGCCGCTCTTGAGCAGAGCCAAAACTGCCGCCCGATCACTGCCGTGGTGTATCAAGTCCTATGCAGATGCCATATGTTGGAAAACAGGCACCTACTGAGCCATCGGGCCAATAAACTCCGTGAGCTCCAACAGTACCACTTCATGCGCTTCTTCTTTCCTGCCTGCACGTGAGCAGAACGTAATCGATTTAATTGGAGAACGTTCCTCCAGCATGGTTTGTTTGGGGTTGGCGCATATATTCGCACTTGCGTGCAGGTCGGCTGCTGTGATGCAATTGTTAAGCATTTGTATGCGGTCTGTGTGCGACAGGGTGGGCTTCGGTATGCGGACAGCCTTGCAACATGAGCTGTAGCAAGGAGTACTACAACCCGTGGCAGGCCACGTACCGAGAGCCCTCGCCCGTAGCGGAGGATTGTCGTGAGTTTCAGTTTGGTACGAGTACCCAAGACAAGCGTCCTCGAAAGCGTATCGGACCTTAAGTGTCCAGACGTCCTGGGCACAACAACCGTACCGAAGACTGCGGTCGTGCTGAGAGAAGACGCCCTGCCATGACTTTTAGCACGCTTGGCTGCAGCTTCCAATGGAACCCCGCATGCAAGCAGACCCAAACGTCTCGTCGAGGCAAGCACTAATACTGTACAGAATGGCTATGCACTTACTGTGCCATCAGTATCAACCCACCTGCACGCAAGTACATACGCATGCACTAGCTGCGCAGATCATGCTACACAGGCAATGCTACAGTTACAGGCTTCGTCGTTCCAAAGGACCAGTGGAGCAACGCCGAAATAAGGCGGGCAGTTCAAATATGCCTCTCCAAGTATATACGATGGATGAAACGGAACAGAGAGACACTTAAAAGTTTAGCAGAGTATGTGGGATGGTTGAAACACATCAGAAAGGCGCCTGGTTGGGCAGGCTAGAGGCGAGCCGCGATACCCTGGATCCGCTCTCATGCTCTAGCAGAAGCTTATAGCATTCATTACTGCACAGAAGTCAGGCCAATATGTATTAGCTACTCATCTATGCGACAAAAATGCGTTCAGTTGAAAATTTTTGGTCAACGAACCAAGATTTGCACTGGCTGCGAAAACCAATCGGCAAGGTTACACTTCGATTGTCGGCCGTCGGAAGTTGAGGCGCAGTTGACATTCTGTTCCGTGGCAGGAACTGAGATATGTATTCCTGTACATATTTTTTTGTCGCCAAATGGGTCTATCGTCCCCTTAGGAGCTCTTCTTCTCAAAAGTTGCCTGGTTCTGGGGGGGCTGAACGTCCCGGAGAATTCGCCAGTGGGGATTTGAGGGGATATCTTGCTTCGTTTTCCATCCTCACAGTGTACCTCGCTCTGCGAGGCCTTACGGAATTTCCAGCTTTGCTTCATTAAAATACTGCCCCAGTTGCGGGAAACCTCGCTCCTCAGCAGTTGTGACACCGGTAATGCGCGGACCAACGGATATATCCTGCCCAGTCCTGTTTGAGCCAAACCACTTGGTAGTATGGGCACCGCCCCTTTGCCCTTGGTCAGAATCGACGAAGAGCAGCAGGAATGGGGAGCTCAAGCGAGCGCGCCTTCACGCCATGTCGCAGCCAAGCATCCGTTCTGGCGGCTAGGCCAGAACATACAACTGACGACCGTGCTCCTCGTGTCTGCCCTTGCTGCGGCGTTCTTGCTACTCCGGTGTTATCATCAGCTCACTGCGGTAAACATCTCGGGAAAAGGGTCTCTTAGGTCGCTTGCNNCAAAGGCTGATACAGGTAACGAAGGATTGCTCGTCTGTTGCTGTTATGCTCCCGTCGCCGTTTCTTATGAGGCTAGTCAATCTTTTCCTGGGGTTTTGCATCCAAGAAGTGGCTGCTCTGTCGGCGCTGCTAGAAGCCCAGTTCGATAGACAAAAGGCGGACGTTCTTCAGACAGCTATGGAAGCAGCCAAGGAGGTGATGCGTGTTTCCCAACAACGCGACAATAATGCGCAGCTGCAGCATGCAACTCGCCTCCTGAAGCTTGCTAGACATGCATTGACCAAAACTGCACAACATCCACCTCTCGCAGCAGACGTGCGTTTGAGTATGTTGGGAGAGCTTCTCGCGCTTCAGGAAGCGGCGCTGGGACTGATAGAGACTGCTGTTTCATCAGCGATGAAGTCCCTTCACTCACAAACGGATGCAACCCCGGAACTCATCAATGAACTTGTCGAGGAACTGAAACGCGTCATCTATTCCCGGCGAAGACAAGTGTTCAAAAGTAAGCATTTGAGCCACTATCTACGGCTCTTTGAACGGCGGCCTAATCGGGCAATCCTAATCGGTCTCTACCATGTCGAGAGGCTAGACCAAGAACCGGATACAACCTTCGAAGCGAAGCTTGCAGAACTACGGGAAGGTAAAGCTTGGGTTAAAATGCCATTGGAGAAGACTCGAAGCCTTTTGTTAGAGGCTGCTCATCAGAAAGAGGGACATCCAGCAAAACAACAAGAGCTGCAAGTCATGCAGA